TAACTTCCATACTGACGTGTTTAAAGAGAAGGACTCCCATTAACCAGATGTACAAAGGCCAGTGTAGAAGTCAGGTTCTAACCTCATAAATGATGGTGAGATGCATGGATAGGCAGAAGTGCAATCACCTCCACCAGCAGGTCTCCTGCTCTTGTGGAAAATGCATGAAAAAATCAGTCATAACCAGAGAGCTGGCTCCAGAGACAAAGGTCATGCGGCTGACAAAGCTGGAACCTCCAGGTCAGGCACAGTCTCCTCCGCGCTGCACCTCTGGGGAGACCTGGCCAAGGCTGGCTCCTGGATGCAACTTTTGGGGGCTCTGTGAGGGCTAGCAAGATGCTCCCATGAGGTTTTTCTGCAAGGTGTGACTAGGACTCAGATTTTTGCACACTTAGACTTGACCATCCCTCAAGGCGGTCTTCGTCATGCTTGGCATGATCCATTATGTGTTGCTTTTACCTGCCTAACTCTCCGGGTGACTTGCAGATTCTTAGAAATACTTACAGGAATAGCACCTCACCTATGGCCCAAAATTTCCTCTTTGACCTGCCATGAACCAGCTCTGTGATCTGAGGCAAGTCAGTTTACCATTTTGGATCAAAGTGGTGGCCTCCATAACACTTTAGCATGGGGGGGCAGGATCTAGATAAGATGTACTCTTGCGTCCAAGCCAAGGTCAGCGACTGCAAGGAGAAATGAGTCTGACGTTTGTGTGTTCCCACAGTACAGAGCTGGGATTCACAGAGACCCCCTCTTCCTGAAGCAATCACTCAGACCGTCTTAGCAGTGGTTAAATCACAGGAGCAAGGTTCCACTTCCGGTCCTACGGTGAATCCGTAGATGAAATTAGCCCACTTCCGGTCCTACAAAACTTTGCTGCTTCCATAACAGTTATAGAAAGTGTTCGTTATCACTGTCTTTATTTTATAGACAAAGGAAAACATCCCGCAGAAAGTTGCAGGTACAGCGTCCTGCATCCTGTCCTTGATGGTACGGGACTGAGTGTCAAACCAGGAGAATTCCAAGTTCAAATCCCGGTCGTTGCAGCACACTCATTCTGTGACAGTGGTGGTCACGTCAGTCTCTTCCACAGGTACAGCAAGCGTGACTTCAACGCAACAAGCCCCAGAGAACAGCTCGGTTCACATTTCAAACGTGTCACAGAAGTGGCCTGGTCCACATGAGGGAGACTCGCTCATGGACGACGGCCTTGCAGAGAGGCCCCACAGTCTGCGGTTTCCGGAAGGGGAGGCCGCCAAGGCGAACCTGATATGGGGACCCCATCCGTTCCTCCTCAGGAGCTGAAACTCGGCACCTGCCTTCCCCACGCACCGGGCTGGTCTTTCCCCTTCTTTGGAAGGCTCTTGCATCCTGCGCCTTTGAAACTTGAGCTGCCGTGCTGCTGCCAGGCTGTATTGTGTGTCCTGGGAACGGCGGACCCAGGGACACTCGCTCTGCTGGCTTCTCCACAGCTCTTTCTGTGCAGGTCGACCTGGGAACCCTGCCCTGGAGACACTGGCCAGAGCGTTCAGGGTCCGTGCAGACAGCGGAGGACAACTACGCAGGTGGCACCGCCCAGCTGCCCTACTACAGCAAGACGCATGACAGCGAGTGTTTTCCTGCTTCCCGTCCGGCTCTTCTCCAGTCAAACCCGCTCCTTGGAGACACGCTTGGGCTGCACATGAGAAGGATGGGGTTTCATTACTATACCTTGGACCAGAGGAGACAGGGATCCCTTCCCTGTTATCTTCTCCAGTTTCCTGCTTTGCGGAAGGGAAGAGGGATCACTGTGACCGGAGCCCATTCACAAATGCATATGTAGAATAAAAGCTGGATTTGCAAGCTGGTGGCAGGGCCCAGGAGTAGAGCGCTTGCCTAGCACGGGAACCTGGACTTGTTCCCCACCAATGCAAAAATAAAATAAAACCCTGAATTTAAATATTTAATTTTTAAATTGAATCCACTGGTGCATTTTAGATATACGTAAGGATAGCATTCATCACAGGGTATTTGTACCTGTGCATGATATATCTTGATTCATTTTTTTTTTCCCATTCCCCTCCCCTCCCTTCAACCCCTCTTCCTCTCCTTATTTACAAAAGCTTGGTTTCCATTTTTTCCTCCTATTCTCTTTTTTTCCTTGATCCTTCCTTCCTTTTCTCCTCCTCCTTCTCTAGATTCCCTTCCCATCTGGACATTTTCTTCCTATTTTACAATGTCTATTATATATTTTGGTTCTTATTTACACTTTTAGACTCTCACACCAAAGAAACAGTGTGGTATTTACATGTGTGCCCAATTTACTCCACTTGAGTATGGTCTCAATGAGCCGTCTACCTATAAAAGTCTCAAATTTCTCTTTCTTGATGGCTGAGTAGTACTCCACTGTGTAAAGAACTCACACCTTTTTCCATTCATCAGTTGATGTGTATTTGGCTGTTTCCAAGATTTAGCTATTACAGACTGTGCTGCTTTAAACATGGTGTGCGTATATCACTGTGGAATGATGCATGTAATGAATTTAAATATTTGCAATAGAGCAGCCTTTTACACTGGCACAGCCACCTGTAATATAAATACTCGGTGATGTCCTTAACACTTTACAGTTCACGTGAAGTTGCGCTGTCTAATTCCTTCTGTGAAGCACTGACTATGCAAGAGGGTATTAATTAATTTCCATGTGTCTGCGTGGTTTTGGTGACAGTCCTCACATGCAGTTTCGTGCTGTTACCCTTGGGGAAGGGACTGTCCAAGTCAGGACTGGGCTGGGTGTCGTGAGGTTGGCATCCTGCCCGGAGCCAGGGACAGAGCAGTAGCGATGATGAGGGGGTAAATGACCACCACTCATGTGATTTCTTCTTTCTTTGTACTTTTACTGTCAAAATAAGAACATCTGTCTAGTTTTTCAGTTACTGATATTCTCAGGAAAATATTTCATTTGCACACTAAGATAATTCATGTGTAGAAAAATAATGAAGACCAATAAACAAGCATTACTTATAATTCTATTTTTTAGGTTATTCTGGCCCCACAGAGACTTGGATCCGATTGGCAGGCCACAGGAAGTGACACCATCTGTCTCTGAGGTCATTAGCATAAAAGAGGCCTTACCTTTTTGCATATGTTTGCTGCTGATTCTCTCACATGCTTATACCAGCACTGTGGGAACGTTTCACACAATCCTGAGGGTGGGGCGGTGGGACCACATGTTTTAGATGAGAAGATTTGCAGTGGGGACCTTTGACTTACACCGCACTCTGACAGCTGACTGAGAGCTGAACTCTGGATGTCATGCTCAATCATGGCATCCTTTTGGCATTAACATGCTAAGCTGGGCATGGTGGTGCACACTTGTAATCCTAGCACACTGGGAGGCTGAGGCATGAGGATGTCCAGTTCAAGCTCTCCAAGGCAACTTAGCAATTCCATAAGACACTTTCTCAAAATAAAACATACAAAGACCTGGAAATGTAGCTCAGTGCAAAGGCCCTGAATTCAATACCCAATATCAAAAAAAAAGACTAATATCATAAAGGAAAATTATCACTAATTTGGGGACCCTGTATCCCTATCCACAATCATATTTTCTCACTGTAAATGCAAATGGCCAAATGAATGAACTTTCACGCAGTGGAAGGGGCATGAATGGATAAACCTAACTTACCTCCTCACTTTGACAGTCAGAATATGCCCCTTTAATTTTGTGAGAAAAAATATGTATGCATTATATCTATCAAGTAACCCATTTTTTAAAATTTTAAGATCACCACACATCCCACCACCAGAATTAAGCATTCTTAGATGTTTTTAACTATTTTAAATCCCTCTATATACTGTGTGTTCATAGATAAGAGCTCACCCTTCCAAATGACCAGTCATAATAGATGTAATATCATTAAAATAATTCAGGGAGAGAATTTTGCACGCAAAAAGGCAGTTTAAGCGACTGAGATCCCTGGGCGTGATCATATTTTAATGCTAACATAATATTTCAGCCAGGAGTCCAATTGTATTGCTAAGCCCTTAATAACATGGCACACCCATCTCCAACCTGCAGCAGTTAGAAGTTGGTTAGACACAGACATTATAGTCAATATTAAAAGTATAGCAAAGGGCAGATGTTCAGCTGAAAAGGAATGGCCTCATATTCTTGGGAGATTTCCAAATCAGCACAGTCGAGCGGTATTCATGGGTTCCAAATGCAGCCCTTCAGCTGTAGCCGAAAGGGCTGCCCGGCCAGAAAGCTCAGTGTGAAGACGTAGGCAGCTTCCTTGAAGAAGCACCTAAGCCCTGCAGTGCCAGCTGCCACCCCTCCCTGCTAGCAGGTGCTCCCCTGACTGGGGTGGGGGCCGGTTTCTATTTTCAGGCATCTGCTGAGCTGAGTGGCACCTGCGCCGGCGGGGACGTGGACATGCTCTTGTTGGGTGGTGTTCGCAGCCTTTCAGTCCGCTCTGTGCGCAGAGCACTCAGGGGACAGGGGCTTGTGGCTCGAGGACAGCAAATGACACGAGGGCAACTCAAACTGTCCGTCAGCCCACGCGCGGTGACATCTTCTCACAGGTCCTTCACGACATGTCACTCTTGGGAATTGGCGGCACATGGGAAGTGGATAAAACACTGCCCCCCCCCCCCGCGTCACCTTGGGTAGGCGTCACCTGGACCATGCAGGCGCCCAGCCCACCCCCCAGGGGCTTCTCATCCCCTGAGACAGGACAGCTCTCCCGTGTCACTTCCCAGAGGACGACGACCAGCATGCAGACCACTGGGCCCCCATCGTCGACACCTGTCAGATGGGAGCGTCCCGTCCCTGAGAACAAAAGGCTTTTGTGGATCCCTTGGCACCATGTGCGGTGTGGAATTCCCCGCACAGCTGCTGCCCACGTTTTGTTTGTTCCCTCCCTGGAAGGAGGGCGAAGGGGCGCTCAGGGAGTGTCCTGCAACCTCGGAGGCCTTGCTTTTCGAGGGAGGGAAGACGGCCTCTGCCCTTCCCCAGGGCCCACAGGACAGGTCACCACCACGCCCCGGGGAGGGGACGAAGAGCCGGCTTCCTTCTGCATCCGGTTCCTCTGAAGTTGGGGACGCTCACTCCTCGCCCTGTGGGTAGAACTGGTATTTCGCATGGCGCCATTTTGTGCCACCTGTGACAGCTGAGTTAAAAGTCTGACATCAAGTCTTGCTGTTCAGTGATGACTAACAGAACAGACCCACCGCTGTGTTTTCAGCTGTTTCGTCAGAATCTGGGAAAACATTGACATTTTACATTGGCCGTGATGGCTAATGACTGTCGTTTTCCTGCTTCTCAGCTGTTCCTCCCTTTGAGTTTCCATGTTTCAAGGCCACAGCATCAGAGAGCCGAGGAGAGTGGGCCAAAGGGCACCCAAAGGTCCAGCACAAGGAGGGCGAACCGTTTAGAGTTTTCAATGGTACAAACAGCCCACCGCGGCACACGTGCTGTACGTTCGCTCTCACTGCTCTCGCATCTCGCTACCCTGTAGATGGCGTTTGACGCCTTGCCAAATGATCAGAATTGCTCTTTATTTCAAAGGTATTACTCAGCTATAAAGGAAGATAAATGTGGCTTTCATAGGTAAAAGGACACAACCAGAGACCATACTCATAAGTGAATAAACCAGACCCACACGGGTGAACACCAGATCGTCTCCCTGGTGTGTGAACCTGAAAGAGTAAATAAAACCTAAAAGGTACAATAGACATTGTGAAAGGGAAAGAAACTGCTCAAAAGAACAACTGGAATGAGGCAAAAGAGAAAAAAAAGATGGGAATATATATGTGTGTATGTATACACAGGATAGTTAACATAGTTGTACTACTGACTCCTATTGCTTTACTGAAAAGAACAATTGATGTTTCATTGTTTGATCAGTCTCACATACCTATATTTGTTTATCTGAGTAACCAATTTGAAGATAACAGTGTGTAATGCAACAGTTGTTAATTTCCTATCAACTTGTCTGAAATTCTGTGTTGCTTTTATTGTTTTTGTGTTGTTTTGTAAATGTCTGTGTGTCTGTGAATATGCTTTCATTCTCTTACCTTTAAAATAAAAACAATTTTAACACATAAGAGGGGACTTCGTGGGCTCCTCCGGCAACCGTGCTTCAGTGGGGAACCCCTCCCTCTGCAGACCTGCGCTCTGCTCCGGCCGCGGGCTCCCGGCTTCTCTGCCCTCCATTCTGAACATACTCAGCTTCTTCTTCTTTGGCGCTTTTCTGTCACCCGGCACTGACTAAAGAGAAACTTCGGGGAGAGTTTTCTGAGTGGTGAGCTGTGCTTCAGGTGAGAGGGGGCAGGGGGCACCGCGCCCCGCACACACCGTACTCAAGTACGTACGCCTGTATCTGCTGCTGTGTTTTCCTTCCAGAGCAGTTACAGTGCGTGTCATACCAAGACTGTCTCGCAGCAGTGGTCGACTCTGCTGCTCCTCCATTTCCAAATGCAGACCTTTCAGTTATTTCACATTGTCTAATTCCTATTACAGGCTTTCTACTTTTGTGACGCTCAGGCAGTCTTTTCTGTGCTTATACTTTACTTTTCATCTATACAGTGTTGGCATACACTGTCCATGACTATAGGAGGCAGTGGATTCACTTGGGCTTACATTTACTGTTTGCTTTCCATGATACTGATAAAACTATGCCTCTCCTTGAGGGCCACCTCTGCACACCCCGTCTCTGCCCCAGGTCCCCCTTGAGACACCCCAGGTCACCCACGTCTCGAGCACTGCCCTGTACCCAGTCCCGGCCCTAAACAGCCATCCGTGGTAGCTGTCACTCACACACCTCCCTTGCCATTGGGGACACTGTCTTTGCCTGTGTCCCCCCCATGTGTCCCTAGAGTTGGCTCACTGTGAAACAGCAGGACACATCTCAACGCTGCCTTTCCCTAAGGCTGCCCTCCACCCACAGCAACCTGCAGTACATTCTGCTGAATTGTGGGGGACCAGGTGCCAAGGTCTGCGTGAATCAGAGGACTGTCCGAGAGCCCTGCTTGTCCCCTCGCAGCTCTGGAGCGGCTGCAGAAGCACGAAGCCTGTGTTCCGTTCCATCTCGTCCTGGGTCACTGATAAAGCTGTCAGACAATACGGCCGGGCTGGCTGGGGAACACCTGTTCTCTAACTGCAGTATCACTGATCTGCCGATAACCACGCAGCGTGCAGACCTCGGCCGGCCGTCTCTCCGACGGTGCATTTCGCCCCTGTGACTTAACGCAGCTCTCTGGAAACGGCTGCTTGTTCAAAGGTGTTCCATGGCCAAGATACAAACACAGTTATAATTATAGATTAATATTTAATAGAATGTTAAATCATTTGCAAGTGTAAAAGAAAGGGACCACGAGAAATGTTCATAAGTCCTGCATAGGAGAGAAAATGAGGCGGTTAATTGTCGTATAAAACAGCAGGATTAAACAGAGCAGTCTTTGCTCTCACACGTTAGCAAGCATATTAAGCAGATATTTGTAACATCACTTTAATGATTAGCTTGCAAGGATGATTTCTAATTGATGGCTTTCATAATAGACACTTTTCCTTTCCCCTCTGTCAGTTTTCCTTCTTTGATTTGACTTTCTATCAGCAGATTCTAGTACAAAATTTTCTGATTGATTGGCATTCTAGATGATGGCTTCTCTCTTAAAATAAAATCAGACTCAGCCAAGTGCAGCAGTGCAGCCCTGCCGTCCGGGAGGCTGAGGCAGGAGGATCAAAATTCCACCACAGCCTGGGCAACTCAGTGACTCAGTGAGGCCCTGTCTCAAAGTAAAAACAAAAAACAAAAAAGAGCTTGGTATGGAGCTCAGCACACAGCCCTGTGTTCAATCCCTGGTACCAAAACAAAACAAAACAGAAAAACAACCCAGACACAGGTGGAACCCAAGGTGAGATGAAGAGGGCGCCCTGGAGGAGGACAGCCTACACTATTTCACCCAGGCTGCGCTGTTACTTCCTAGTTGACTCCCACAGTGGGGTGGGGTCCACCGGGTCTTGAAACCTCCACCACCTCCAACCCCACACATAGCCCAACCTCAGTAACAATCCTGCAACCTTCAGTGGTTACTTACCATACTAATTCTTCATCTACAAAATGGAAGGAAAATCAGTACTTTGTGCAGGGGTGTTGAGGATTTTAAATAAGTTTGTGAATTTTTAAACACTTGTCCATCTCATAGTAAACAGTTAAAAAAATTCTACATTCTAGCTGGGGGTAGTGGTGCACACTTGTGATCCCAGCACTCTGGGAGGCTGAGGCAGAAGTATCACAAATTCAAGATGAGCTTGGGCAACTTAGTTACCTAGCAAGGCCCTGTCTCAGCATACAATTTTTAAGAAGGGCCAAGGGTATAGCTCAATGCAATTTTTGAGCTATAATCTTTAGTAACACACACACATACACACACAACAAAACAAAACACACACTACATGTCTACAAACAGAATATCTTTTATTCAACTGGGATCAAAATTCCAACTCTGGAATATCAGCATGTACATAATGAGATATCTTGGGTCTAGAACCCAAGTCTAAATGCAAAATGCATATGTTCCATACGCACCCTGAACACATTGCCTGAGGATAACAACATTTCTAATAATTTGGTGCATGAAACAAAGTTTCCTGGTATGTGAGAATACTACTGTGAGGTCACATTGGTCAAAAAAGTCACAACTTCAGATTTTGACATTAGGAATGCTCAACTTGTGTGATGTTCTTGCCAAAACACCCTTGTGTAAACGTGAGGAGACATCACCCGTGTCTGAACTGAGGAGAGGAGCATTTCGTAAAAACAAAACGAAAACCAGGCACGGTCACAGACAAGAGAAGAGCACAGCCCCTGGACAACACTTCTCAGTGAGCAGCCCTGCAAAAGTACCGAGCTCCTGGCCTGGACGGTCCAGCCAGGCTGGAAGACGTGAGAGGAGGAGGTCGTGCCGAGCGACCTGAGAACGTCCGATGCTGATTTTCACAACTCACCCTCGAATATTATCTACAAACACTGCAGCATATTATCACCATTATGATCATCTGTGGTACCAGGACTGAACCCGGAACCCTGGTATTTCACACCGAGCTATGTCCCTAGCTCTTTTTATTTTTTTATTCTTGGGACAGGGTCTTGATCAAGACATTAAGTTGCCCAGGCTGGGAAGGAACTTGTAATTCTCCTGCCCCAACCTCTCATCAGAAGGTTGTTTTTAATGTAAAAAAACTGAAAGTTCGTTTAATCCTTGTAAACATGTGCATGTATTCTGTGTGATTTCATCCTTCCTGTTGTTGGTGTTCTTTTTTGAGTGGGGTGGGGGAGGTATTTCAAATGTCTGCAGTCCAGAGCGGGCTCTGTGGAAGGAGAAGACCGGACAGTGGTCATCAGCTTTGCTCACACAAAGATGCCCGTGTCCTTGGCTGGGCCACTTGCTGGGGTCAGAGCTGCTGGAGGGGTCCTGCTGAGAGGGGCTTGGAGGCTGGAGACGCGGGCTTGGCCAGTGCTTCTCAGCCACTGCACTGAAGGGGAACAGGCAGAACCGATGCACACAGCGGGGCCACGTCCTGAGCGGTGTTGGAGATGGAGCCTGCTGATCTAGAGCAAGAACACGGGGTGGTGGGAGACGGATCCTCTAGAACCAGACTAGTGCAGGCTCCCTGGCACACAGGCAGAGGAGAGGTTATAGTGGCAAACCTATGGCATACGCTGCAGCTGGCTGTGTGTTACCCCTGACAGCTCTAAAAGGTTCACCCTCCCTGATTAGGGGAAATGAAGTCTCTTCTGATTACAGATGGTCCTGGACAGTGATAGCTCAACTTGCAATCTTTAACTCTATGGAGATGCAAAAGGTTATGCGTTTTGCAGAAACTATCCTTTGACCTTTGAACTCTGACCTTCTCTAGGCCCTGTGATGCTCTCCTATGATGCTGAGCAGTTCATAAGCCACAGCCCCCATCAGCCATATGATCAGAAGAGGAAGTACCTGAGCCTCCATAGAGCGTGGTACTGCTGACTGAGGGGGCTGGACAGGTACACGCAGTATGTGCATTTTCCACATCGACACCTTCAGCCTACGGTGGGCTTACTGGGACATAACACATCCCACATTGAGAAGCACCACATTTATGTGTCTTCAGGAAGTAGTGACCAGGGTTACTAGTTATACTAGAGACGCAGGACAGACAGGAGGTGTATAGGTAGACAGATATTGACCCTCTGTGTCCTTCAACCAACTATGGATCAAAAGTATTTGGAACAAATGACTTTGTACCTTATTTCCTTGTCATTAGTCCCTAACAGTATAGTGTAACAACTACTTATGTGTCATTTACATTGTCTTAGGTATTAGAAGGAATCCAGAGATTAAAGTATCCACGCAGATGTGCACCTGTTTATGCAAATACTATTTATTTTTCCAAGGGGACTTGAGCTTCCAGGTATTTTCAATCCTCGGGGATCCCGCAACTATCCCTCCTGGGTACAGGGAGATGAATCTGTGTGGAGTAGAGATAAAGATACAGACATGGATATGGAAAGAAAATGAGAGACTGACTTATAGTGGGAATTGACTCGGTGGTTCTGGAGGCTGAAGAACCCCATGATTTGCTCTCTGCAAGCTGGAAACCTGTGCATTCAAGAGCATAATCAGTGTGAGTCTCAACACGAGATGGACTGGGGCAGGGACCAGTGTCTGAGTCCCAGTTTGAGTCTAAAGGACCAAGACCAGGGCTGAGGATATAGCTCAGTGGCACAAGCACCTGCCTGGCAAGCTCAAGGTCCTGAGTTCCATTCCTAGTACAAAAAATAGAATAAAATTAGAAAGTACCAAGACCAGGAACACGGATATCTGACAGCAGGAGAAGACTATGTCCTGGCTTAGATATACAGGGTACTCTCCCTTCTCTGCCTTTCTGCTTCCTGTGGACGCTCTGTGGCATGGATATGCACCCCCATTGGTAGGGCAGTGTACACAGTCGAATGTGAGCCCTCAACTTGAATGGGTAAGAAATGGCTTGCGGGTTAGTAAAGCACAGTTAAGGGCGTGTCTGTGGATGACTGACATGCAGGCCAGCAAGCTAAGGGAAAGACCCACCAGGGTTTGGTGTGGCACCAGCCAATAGGCTTGTAGCCTGGATGGACTGCAAAGGGAAAGAAGGTCATGTGTGCAGCTGTGAAGGGCTCCAGCCTTGCTGAGCAGGTGCGTCTCTTGCTGCCATCGCTTTTGGATGACTCCAGCTGTCCAGTTTCTTCAGCCACCGATGCACACACACTGGCAACTCTCCAGGGAGCGCCCGGGGCTTCTACCTGAGGCAGGCCACATCCTCTATCCCTCTCCTTCTGCAGCTTCATTTTTCTGGACTGAGCAGCTCCTGGGTCCTCTGGCTCTCTGGTGTGCAGACGCCCATGTGGACCCTCCCATCTCTGCTCCAGTGAGCTGTCTGATGAACCCCCTGGTGTAATGATACATGTACTTTCTTTGCTCCTCTCAAGGAGCTAAGATTCTGCTCCTCTCAAGAACCAAAACTAACACAAAATGCCAGCCTCTTCCAGAAACACCCATGAAGACACACCCAGAAATAGTGTTTTAGTGCTGCCTGGGCATCACTGAGATGGGCGACCAGCTGACCCATGAAGAAAAAGGCAGAGGGAAGGAGCCGAGGATCCCAGGACGCCAGCACAAAGGGTTTAAGGGACAGCAGCTGGGAGGCAGCCCGCAGCCAACTGGCATGGACGGCAGTGGGTCCCAGTGGCGTGGTGCATGAGGTCCATTCCTTCTGCTGGGAACGGTCCTCATCCTTCTGAGATGGGACAGAGCCCCTCCAGCAGAGGACGGGTCTGCTGAGGCAGGGCAGCCTGGAGGAAGAGCCCTGGAAATACGGACAACAGTGGTGATCTGGGTGTCACCAATCTGAACCCACCAAGGTGGCTCCGTGCATATCACTCTAGGTGTCCAGAGCTTGTTCTCGTCTTTCCTTTAAGTTCAAGCCTATCAAGATTTGAAACTGGCACAAAATCCCAGCATCTAACTAACGCAGAAAGAGAGCTGCTTCCAACCAGCTATGGTTGCACATGCCCATGGCCCTAGCACTCTGAGAGGCTGAGACAGGAGGATCAAAATTTTTAGCTTAGCCTGGGCAATTTAGTGACTTACTGAGAACTTGTCTGAAAATAAAAAATAAAAGAAAAGCTGGAGATGTAGCTCAGTGTGAAGGCTCGGGCTTCAATCCTCAGTACCACAAACAAACAAAACAAAACAAAATAAAACAAACAAAACAAAACAAAAGCGATTGCTACTCCCTGCAGGGTAGGATGCCTCTTCTTTCACACAGCGTTTTGTGTGCAGCACAAGGATTAGGTGCTGGCCTTCTGTCTGTGGAGGCTGGCACAGGCCTACCAAGCCACCCACCTGGCCGCCACCCCTAGATCAGTCTGCTCTTCGTAAACAGCAGGACGAGAATGTCATGACGAATACTAAACAAAGCGTCTGTGGAAAATCAGAGGAAGCCTGAGCTCGGAGCCAGCTGAGACAAAGAGGGAACGGAAACTTGCGGTTCACAGGGTGTGTGAGGACCACAAGGGCTGTCTGAACTCTGAGAAGGCCCCTCTTTCTCCTTCCTGGGTAACAGCTGGGCTTTCTATCTTTATATTTAGCTGGCGCTCAGCCCCTTCTAGGGGATCATTGCTCAAGAATGTCCCAGAGCACGGTGGGAGCACAGCAGGGATGGAGAGAGGGGTTTTTAGGCCCAGCTTCCAGGACACGCTCAGTGCCGGGGTGACAAATGGATTCAGAGCAGGAGGGACAGTGACCACTAGAGTGGGATGTGTTTGTCTCCAGAGTTCCGCACTCCAAGATGGAAACCGACCGCGTGAGGTACATTTGGCTTGTGACTGTGATTGCTTTCGTCCACAGTGTGAAAACAATCTAACTGACATGCAGTAAACCGCGTGCCTTTCCAGTGCACACACGGGTAAACGTCAGCACATACACATCCGTGGACCCATCGCAGCGTCACGGTGATGACCCGCCGCTCCCTCTTCTTCACGGCTCCTCTCTGCTCCTCACCAGCAATTCCTCCTCCACCTGCTGTATCCAGGCAACAGCTCACTCCTCCTGCCGCTTCAGGGTAATTTGCATGTCCTGGAGTTTTATATAAATGGAATCATCTGTTATGTGCTCTCTTTTCTGGCCTGGCTTCCTTTGATCTGTGTCACATTCTGAGATTCCTCAGCGTTGTTGCATAGACTGTAAGCAGTTGGTTCTTTTCAATTGATGAGTAATACCCCGTTGCATTCATGCACTATAACTAGTGTTTCCATTTACCTGCTGTATGCTCAGATTGTGTCCAGTTTGGGGCTATGACCAATAAGACTGCTTAAAAGCTCTGTTCTCAAAGCCTTGGTGTAGACATGTGATTTCATCTCCCTCGTGTAAATAGCTCGCTGTGGGATTGATGTCACACGGCAGGTGTGTGCTTCCCATTTAAGTAACTTCCAAACTGTCTGAAGTGAGCGCTATTTTATAGCTTCACAAGAAGGGCAGGAAAGTTCCATTTTACTCAGGTTGGTCACACTGAGTACAGTAAGTCTCGATTATGTCAACTGCTGTAGAGTGGCATTTCACTAGATCTTAAATCTGCATTTCCCCAGTGGATAACAGCCATGTTGAGCATCTTTTCATTGTTTGTTTATTTTTATTTATTTATCTGTCTTTTTGAGACAAGGTCTCACTGTGCAGTTCAGGCTGGCCGTGAGCTCACTTTGTAGCCCAGGCTCATCTTGAACTCGCAATGATCCTCCTGCCTCAGCCTCCCGAATGCTGGGATTACAGGCATACACCACCACGCTTGGCTTTCATTGTTTATTTTTAACCCATGTATCTTCATTTGTGAAATGTTTCCTCAAATCTTTTGCCTACATATTAATTAGTTTTTTTCCTACTAATGTGTTCTGAGATGATATATAGTTTTTTCTTTGATGAACTGTGGATTTTGGATACCAAGGAAATTTTTACTTAACCCAAAGTCATGAAGACTCTCTTCTATGTTTTCTTCTAAGAGTTTTATAATCTTAGTTCTAGTCGCTTTTTTGAATTAAATTTCATATACTGTATAAATTAGAGTCAAATTCAGTCTTTTTTAATTTGGATATACCCTTATTCTAGAATTATTTGCTGAATAGTGTATCCTTTCTCTATCAAATTGCCCTTTTGATGAAAATTAGTAGTGTACATACATGTAAATTTATTTCTTTTGTCTAGATGTATACTAGCACAGTATTATCATGCAGTATATTAACCATAAAGTCTTAATAATTATGCTTTACTATAGGTCTATAAATAATCTAATGTTAGCTTTTCAACTTCATTCTTTATTTTCAAAGCTATCTTGATTATACCAGGCTCATAAGAGCTTTCATATCAATTTTCTAATTGTCAGTTTCTACAGGAAATTCTACTGGAATTGTTACTGTGATGCCCTTAAATCTAAAGATAAATTAGGGGAAAGTTAGCATCTTCACAATATTAGTCTTCTGAGCCTTGATCATAGTTTCTTTCTTTATTTCTTCCTTAATTTTTCCTGAGATACATCTTATAGTTTTCAGTGTTCAGATCTCTACACATTTTAGAGAGCATTTACCTCTAAATATTTTATACTTTTATGCTATTTTTAAAAGTATTGTTCTACTAATTCATTCCCTACTGTATGCTGTTATAATAGAGAAATATATTAAAACATGTATATTAATCTTGCTTCCTGCAACCTTCCTGACATTGTTCTGTCAGTTCTAGCATTATTTTTTGCAGAGTCCATTGCATATCTTTACATAAACAGTCACATGTATCATATCTATAAAAAAGTTTCATTTTTTCCTTTTCAGTCTGGATTCAAGTCATGTCTTTTTACTACCTTGTTATAGTATCTATAATATCTAGAACACTGTTAAGTAAAAATTGTTACAGCAAATATATATGCTTTGTTCATAATTCTAGGGAGGAAATATTCATCGTTTGATCATTAAGTTCATTTCTGCTCCTGATTTGCTGTTTTTTATTGCAAATCACAAACAGATGTTTGGATTTTAATAACATTCTTTTATTCCACTGAAAGGGTTACATGTTCTTTACTTTTTATAATTTTAATATGGTGACTTGTGTCAGTTGATTTTTTAGTATTAAGTCAATATTTCATAGGACAAATCTTGCATCCTTCAGCTAACTCTCAGACTAGATCCATGTATAGACCCAGAAACTCTGAGCAGAGGGGAGACCTGTCCTTTTGTGGAAAGACTCTACTACAATACTGAAATTTTATGGCATCAATCTTTCTCCCAGCCTCCCCCACCAAGGTGTTCAGTCTTTCCCAGGGTTTGCATACAGGGGAGAGAAGAAGAGAATCAGAGCTGACAGGGCCTGTAGGATACTTGTTCTGACCTGCAGCTAATTCCCAGAGATCCAAAATGTCACTGTGGCCCACCAGCCGGAGGAGAGGCTGACGCCAGTCAGTGATCAGTGGAGTTTTAGCTCAGGTACAATTCACAGCATGTCCGGTGTGCCTTACATTCATTCGTGGTTACCTCCTCAGTTCCAGAATACATAATAAAAGACACATGCTCCACAGCTGGACAGACCCGTGAACCAGTTTGCTGATCTGTGAATGGGAGCTCTTATGGTGGGTAGCAGCCAATGGAAGCCGCTACAGCCCCTTCTACCTGGGGAAATGGTAAAAGGAGAGCATTAGCACATTCCTGCATGGAATGCAGAGATGAATGTCACCATCAAAGAGCTAAAAAACTAAGTGAAATGTGATTCTCAACATAGCCCCATTCAACTTTCCTATTTGTGCAGAAAGCAGATGAATCTTGCAGAATAATTGTGGGTTATCATAAGCCTCAGTGAACGCTGTCTCCAGCGGCAGCTGCTGTACCACATGTGGTAGATTAACACACCCCCTGGTATGGAGCTACTGATTTGGCAAGGGCTTTTTCCCATGCATTATTGAAAGCCATGAGAAACAGTCTGCTTTGAGCTGATAAGGCCAGCCATGCACTTTCTCTGTCCTGCCTCAAGTCTTCACCCCTATGTCATCCTCGTGTCCTAAAGAATCATCATTGCTTTCCTTTCTACAAGATATAAGGTATGGTTAGTTACCTGAATGGTAGGGTGCTGCTTGGATCTAGCAGTCAAGAGGCATCCACTACTCCAGACACATTGGTAAGACATGCATGCATTAGAGGGTTGGAAATAAATCTCACTGAAATTCAAAATTGGTGAAATTTCCAAGGCTCTGGGGCATAGGTTATATTACTCCATCCCACCCAACATATGACACTAGAAGCTGCTAGTTTTGAGTGGGTCCCACAAGAGAAGGCTCTGTGTCGGATCCTTGCTGCTATAAATTTTTCCGCCATTTGGGCCATAGGATGCAGCAGATCCAATGGTCTGGCAGCATCCACAGGTGCTACCTGCTCATGCAGATGCTACCTGCAGCCTTTGGCAGGGCCCATCACTGAATGGACCTCAGGATTTTGGAGCAAGGCCCTGGCATCCTCTGCAGAAAGAGAGGCCTTGAACTCCTACTGGTCCCTAGTAGCAACTGAGAGCATGACCATGGGGCACCAAGGCCCAGGCCATGTGAGCTGCCCGTCATGAACTAGATGTTACCTGATCCACCAAGGATGGGACCCATATACTTAGCTTTACCACTTTCACCGTACGCTTCTTTCTCTAGTGAGGAATGCCATACATTCAGGCGGCAGGGGAAGAGAAGGTATGGGCCTGGTGCACACGTGGGTTCCACAATAGGTGCTCGCTGCCGGAAGATAGATGGCCACAGCGCCGCAGCCCCTGCCTGGCACATCCCCGGAGGACAGCGGAAAAGCGAAGCCCTCCCTCTTGGGAGAATGTTGGGCGGTGCACTCGACTGTCCTCTTTGCTTAGAAGGAGAAATAATGGGGCATCTGACTCTGTCCCAGCTTGGCAGGACGGTCAGACACATGCAAGGAATGTGACTGGAAAATTAGTGTTGAAGAAATTTGTGAAAGAGATGTGTGACTACACCATTCCGAATGGGTGAAGGACGTGAAGTCGTTTGTGTCCCCTGCAAACGCTCACCGAAGGACGACCTCACTAAACAAGCAGAGAGCATGACCCTGTCGGTGGGTGGCAGGCACCCTCTTTACCTGGCCGCCCCTGTCGCCGTCCAACAGGCTCATGAACTAAGTGGCTGTGGTGACACGGTGGATGTTACGTGTGGCCCAGCAGCATGGACTTTCCTCTCTCCAAGGCCAACCTGGCTGCCAGGGGCATACACCCACATGGAGACCTCACTATGGCACATGGCCTGGGTGCTCAGGCAATTAGCTGGTGGCAGGTTCACTGTACTGGACCTTGTCCATCATGGAAAGCATATAATTTTTTCTCACTAGAGTAGATATTTATTCTGGAGGCAGATTTGACTGCTCCACATACAGTTCTTCTTCCAGAACGACCAAACATGGATGCAGAGAATACCTCACCCACTATGTTACACCAGGCAGCACTGCTTCCGATCCGGAAACTCACTTCCCAGGAAAGAGTGCCGCACTGGGCTCGTGCTCACGGGACTCACTGACCCTCGCGCTCTCTGCCGTACTGAAGCTGCTAGTTTGGCAGGACAGTGGAGCGGTCTCCTAAGACTCAGTGATGACTCGGGCTGGTGGCAGTACCACACGGCGCTGGGGCAAGGTTCTCCGAAGGCTGTATGTGCTCTGAATTAGGGTCCAGGATATGGTACCGTTTTTCCCACTGCTAGAATTCAGAGGTCCAGAAATCTTGGGGTGGACTTGGGGAGGTACCACTCCCCATCCCCCCCTGGCCACCTGCCCAGCCTCGCTGCCTTTTCCCACAGCCATGTCCTCTCCTGGCTGAATGCTCTGGGCTCCACAAGGAAGACTGAGCTCACCGGGAGACAAAACAGTGCTCCACTGAACTCTGGTGAGGGCTGCACCTGGCCACTTGCGTTCCTCATGACTGGCAGGAGTTGCTCTGTTGGCTGGGATGACCCATCTGGACTGCGAAGCAGGCACCGGACTGCCCCCCCCCCAGTGGCAGTAGAGTGTACGGTACACAGGAGACCTTGGGGGTTCTCTTAGTATTACCACACACTGTGACTAAGGTCAATGGGAAACTATAA